TCAATGTTACTTTTTCACTTAGTATAAATATGTATTAATTTTTAAAACATAGACAAGAAATGGAGTTTTAAAGAATTTCAGTGATTTTCTTTTGAAGCCACTTTAAGTATATGCTGATTATTGGCTTAGTGCATCTTATAGATATACCAACTACTACGTCCGTGTGTATTAAGTAAATACGCTTCCAGTTCCAACAGGGACCCACTGTAAAGGTTGATGAGCAATTTGTTTTCAGCCCAGATAGTGTCCCCCATATTGGGTGCAGTTGCCTAAGTGGCTGCAGTAGTTCCTAGGGCCTTTGTTTCCCAGGTACTCCTTTCTAACCTGGCACCCCACCTTTAGGTTTTCTCTGAAATGTGACCTACCTGATCACTTCATCTTAATGTGCATGCTCATGGCTCCTCAATCTTGTCCTTCAAAACTATAACAGGCCAAACATTGTTAAAAACAGACTATTTGTCAGTTCTCTTCTCCCACATTCTGCCAAAGGGAATCACAACTGATCTGCATGGTATCTCCCATTGTCCCTGTTCTGCTAAAGAGGCAACATGTTCTTCTTGGCAGAGACTTAGTAGAAAATAAAGCAATGAGAGAGATCAAAGAAGGTAGAAAGGAAAAATAATCATGAAAACTCAGAACAGAGGAGGGGCTTTTTTGTGAAATGAATTGAAAAAAAAAAAATAATGTCTAAAGAAGGCAAGGCATGAGGGAAAAGATAATAAAGATAATTTTAACAGGTGTTGCTGTGCACTTTAGATTCTTTTGAGGGTCCTTGGAGGATACAAAGATAGAATCTGATTGCTCTTTAATTGGTTTTGTCTATTGAGCAGGGTTGACTGTGTGCAGATCTAGAGCCACACGCTCGCTCACCTATATTAGGGTTACAGTAGATCTGTCAGCGCGTGTAGTCCTTTTGGCATGAGCCTTTAATTCATGTCTCTCTCCTCCTTAGGCAGTCATTAAAGAAGGAAGCAGGCCCATTTGAGACACACTCATATCCCATAGCCCATAGTGAAGTGCCTGACACAAAGTGATCCCCAGTGAGAATATGTCCAGTACACATAACGTTAGAGAAGGTCATGGCAGTTGCCTGGTTCTCTTTCTCCTTGCTTTCCTGGAGCAATTCAGTCAAAGCTGTGTCCCTGGATAAATCTCCTCCAGTAAGTCTCCTCCCTTTTTATTGACATTTCATCAACATCTTTGTATATACTGTATTCTCTTTATGGAATAGTTCCTGATACAAGATATTTCCTGCAGAAGGCCAGTAATCAAGTCTTTGGTTAATTCAAGGGCCCAGAACTTTCCTTCTTAATATAGAATGTGAAAATTCTACAATCAGTGGGAAAAAATGTATGCCAAGTAGATAAAAATCAGTCCCACCGTAGCATAACTCTCCAGAGAGAAGTGATAAAACTGCTTGATGCTTCAGCTAAAAAAAAAAAAAAAAAAAAGTAACAAAATATTTCCAGTTCTGGAAACTAAATTTCATTCCTAATGTAAATATAGAAACCTCTGGAGAAGAGGATTGTACTTGGGAGAGAGAAGGAAAGCAAAGGGAAGTGCAGGGAGGGATTTCATCTTGGCTCCCCAGCAGGGACACAGCCCGGAAAATCAACACTTGCTTAAACAGCAGAAAAAAAAAAAAAAAAAAAAAAAAAAAAAGCACACTCTTACATTGCTGGTGGGACTGCAAATTGGTGCAACCAATCTGGGAAGCAGTATGGAGATTCCTTAGAAAACTTGGTTGGAACCACCATTTGACCCAGCTATCCCACACCTCGGTTTATACCCAAAGGTCTTAAAAACAGTATACTACAGGGACACAGCCACATCAATGTTTATAGCAGCTCAATTCACAATAGCTAAATTGTGGAACCAAACTAGATGTCCTTCAGTGGATGAATGGATAAAGAAACTGTTATATATATACACAAGGGAATATTACTCAGTATTAAAAGAGAATAAAATCATGGCATTTGCAGGTAAATGGATGGAATTGGAGAATATCATGCCAAGTGAAGTAAACCAATCCCMGAAAACCAAAGRCCAAATGTTTTCTCTGATAAGTGGATGCTGATCCATAATGGGGGTGGAGGGGTATGGGAGGAATGGAGAAACTTTGGATAGGGCAAGTGCGKGGAGGGAAGSGAAGGAAGAGGGCATGGGGATAGGAAAGATGGTGGAATGAGATGGACATCATTACCCTAGGTACATGTATAAAGACACGAGTGGTGTGACTGTACTTAGTATACAACCAGAGAAATGAAAAATTGTGCTTCATTTGTGTACTCTGAACTGAAATTCATTCTGCTGTCATTTATAACAAACTAGAACAATTTTTTTTTTAAATCTGGGCATAGGGCTGGTGTGTACCAGTAGAACCTTGCCTAGCTAGTGTGAAGTCCTTGGTCTCATCCCCCCAAAAAAGCAAAACATTATACTGACTTTGTTCTCCCTAYATCCCATCAGTCACCAAATCCTGATGTTTCTATTCCCTCCATAAGCTTAGTCCTCTGTTTTCCTCTTTTCCATTCTGTTGATCCAGGTTACCCATTTTGCTCCTAGATCATTGCAGTAGTCTCCTGATGGCTAAATTGTGGAACCAATTCCCATCCACTATGCCCTTCCAATTCATTCATGTAGCTACTAAAGTGACACCTCTAAAATACAAATTTAGATGCCTTGTTTATTACATGCAACACTTCCCACTATTCCTCAGGATAAAAAAAAAAAAAAAACATCTGCTTGCTATGGAGAGTGAGAAAATGTGAATGAAGAAGAATCAGCTCTCTCGAGACTCACTATGGAGGGAGCAAAAGGATTGTGGGCAGACTGAAACCCAGGTGGTCAATGGGATSATACTTGTAGGCTGACCAGGATATAATATTGAGAAATGAGAATTTGATGATGTTTAGATGAAAAAAGGGGAGATTGTAATTTCACCACCAAAATTCTCGGGAATGTGAATGTGAATGATTTGGAGCACCATGTGTGGGGAAAATTTCCCTTYTCTGAAATTTCTACTTGAAAATGAATTCTTTCTTAAAGGACTTTCTGCAAGGCAAAAGGAGATTTTTCTTTAGCTGACCTATACATTGTATATTGAATGTGGTAACTAGATAGGGGACTTTTTCAAMAGTACTTGATTCCACATTCCCTTATTCTTATTCCTATTCATATTATAATTCCTATAATATTTTCTATGGAGCTGGCACCCAGGATATTGACCATGACCTCCTATTACTTACTGTCCCTTATGTGTTTGGGAAACTCCTATTCATCCTGCAGAGCACCGGAGTTTCCCCTGAATGCTGATCTCTGGGGACAGACTATACTGTATGAACATCGCTTTCAGTAATTTTTCTTTTGGCCAGAAGTCCCAAACTGACACTCCAGGGGAGTGTTTTTAAAGCACTACTTGGAAATTAGTGCCACCATTTTAAAGTCTCATCATGTGTGCCTGCATGCTGCAGTCACACAGACTGTTTTTCCTTAATGCACCTTGCCCACACCCAAACYCCCTGAAGACTCCTTGGGCCTGCCCTTGTTCCCATTGACTAAAGTGTCCTGTACATCCTTCACATTGCTCCTCCATTGCCACTTCCTTTGGAAGAGTTTCCCAGCCCTTCAGATTAAATTAGATCCCACTGATATTCTTTCGGAGCATTCTAGACTTTTTCTTCATTACCTTTATTCATTGGTTATRCATGCACGTGTGGTTGCTTAGTATCTGTTTTCCCTAAGTTCCAAGAGAGTGGGAATAATACCACTGTCTTTACTAGTGGATCCACCATGCCCTGCCTGGTGCCAGAGGCTCATGCGAATGAATGGGCAAAGGAATGAATGGACACTGTCAAGAGGTAGGTCTTAAGGAATGCAGAGCCTAATGTGTCAGAAGTGAGGGCTCCTGTTTTATTCTGAGGAGCATCGTAGCCCACCTGCCTCTCCCCATCTAATCATTCTGCACTAGTTTGATTTGAATGTAGTATTCTCAAAGACTGAGCATCTCGAGGACAGATTTCTTTTATTAAATTTTTATCTTCTGCATCTAGCACAGAATTCCAAAAATGGGTATTGACTGGCTAAACTGATCAGCATGAGTTTGCTTTTTAAGAAAAAATATCAGCTTCTTTGCTTATTAGCGTACACATCACACTCTTTCATTCCCTCAAATTATGCAGCCTTCCGGAGTAAGATGAGTATCCGCAATGCCCATTGCAGATGACTGTGTTGGTGAGTGTGAGACATCCTATTAGCTCTGGCCATCAAGTTTCTGTTGGTCTATGGCCTATTTGCTGAATTTTCAAAGCATTGTACAAGCATCATTAACCTTATCATGTCCAATAATTGCAAAAGTAGGAAAAGCATATAATGTGCAATTGGAAAGACAATTATGATAGGACTTAAAGTGAAACAATTTTAGACGAGTTTATACCTATCAAGTATTTGTGGAATATTTGGCTCCAGATAAATATTTTTATCCTAGAGGAAAAGCATCTTAATTCACGTGAGGTTTAAAAATCATAAAGGTCCAGAGTTCACACACGCCTCATCAGTGAGCAAGGGCACATAATTAATTGACCAGAAGGCTCCCTGGGATTAATTAGCAGTCGTATGTGAAAAGGTAGGGTTCAGACATGCAGCACAGAGGGTAGAATTCTAGAATGACCAGTTCCTGGATTCACAATTTGGTCAGTGCAGGAAGATCATCACACTGTCTAATGAAATTGTGGGGGCTCAGGGATCTTCTGCTGGCCACAGAGGGCTCGTGCACATCTGGCTGTTACCGGCAGAGGGCAGCAATATGCTGTGCGTGTTCCATTTGCATCCCAGATTAGCAAACCCCCAAGGACCTAGAAAGAAAGTGGGCATCCCAAGACTCTCCTAATTCCTTTACTCTGGGTGTCCACCCTGGTCTGAGTAATGGCAAACACACATCTTTTACATTCCAGTGGCCTTTGGCTCATCCGAAATAGAGAAATGAATACACAACTAGGAGCTGCCATCACAGACAGGAAGTAACTTTAATTAAATATTGTGAAAGTTGAAAAGTTTTTACAGCTTGAATTTTTGCAAAAAAAAAAAAATTATAACAATCTCTACAGTAGTTAGGTTCTCTAACAATTGAACTGTACAGTGTGTGTCTATTCAAAAAGTTTTGATAAGAAGGTGAAAGGTTAGTAGATTTAGAGATGACTTCACTAAGCTGCATCCTAGGACAATGTCAGGCCAGGGCTTGTTACGCAATCCAGTCATCCAGAAGCTCCATTCTTCCCCCAACACTGAAATCTCAATTTAATTCTCTATTTCATCTTCTTCTTAAAGCCATATTCTGTATTTAAGGGGGACATATCTTAAAGGAACTCATAAAACTTTTGTGTAGAAGAAAGAGGGTCAGAAGGCCAGAATGTCTTTTCATCTAATCAATATAAATAGGAGCAACAAAACACAAATTATACACATTTTAAAGGCTCTTTGGAGTTTCAAGAGAAGTTCTAACCACAACACATGGCTAACAGATTGGTGGCATCTTTTGTCAGGGTCTGAGCCGGACATCTCACCGGCTGACCATTTGTTCCTTTGCAATTAAGGGACTCACCAGACAAAATATGGCTTTAAACTGTATACATCTTCAGGCCAGCGCTTACCACACGAATTCAGACAACCTTTCTGAGTACCGAGAAGCAATGCTAAACCTTGCTTACATTTTCCAGTTTTTTTCTTTATTATTATTAGTCATCATTATTATTATTTCTCACCATGAAAAATCAGCTTTCCTCCCTCCCTCCCCTCCCACAACTCCCCTCCCCCACCCGCCCCAACCCATAAAAATCGCACTCTGACAGTCTAGTGAAAACCATTGCAAAATCCATATGGGGGCATGCACAGTTGCAGCATTGTTGTAAATGATTTCTTGCTCTACTAGAAAAAGTTACATTGTCTTAAGGTAACAAAACAGTTCTTTTGTGCTTTTCAATTTCTTTGTTTTTTTTTTCTTTTTTCTTTTTCTTTTTTCTTAGAATGTTAGTGATGACTGACAGTTCTGGTGCACAGTTACAATGTACAAGTGAAATGAATATGATTTGCATTGTTAAGGCATCCAATCTGCTGGTTTATATTTACGTGAAAGACAGAGGAAATATACAAGCCGACTTAAGAAAGAAAGTATGTTCACTGATTTCTATGAAGTTTCTCCCCCAAATTTAATGCACAAAATGCGTCACTCCATAGGGAGAGATTCCATGCATATTAATAGAGTAAAACAGCATTAGTTTTTTTTGTAAGCTTCCAAAGCAAAGGATACATTTGTTTTTAAATCTACAGAACTAAATACTACAAGAATAATATGCTACTATTTTTTTGCCATATATTGGAAAAAACTTCTTAACTTACAAATAATACAAAAATAGACGATGGCTTTTGGGTGGAAATAAAAAAAATTGAAGCATGGTTTAAAACAATACTAAAAATAACTATAAATGAAATGTTTAAAAATCACATTGAAATGGCTAATACAATTGTAGGTGACCAAACGAGCACGCACTTTTCACATAACAAACATACACAATAAAATAAACTGGGAGTGGGAGGAAGAGGAAGAAGGGCAAAGCAATGTACAAATCCCAAAGATAAATACATTATTTATATGGATATTTTACAAAATCCCCATTAAAACAAAAAGCCTTTTAATTAACTTTGTAAGTATGTGCAAGCTAAAGGTAGTGAGCTTTTTTTTTCTTTGCAAGATTATGCAGTAAAATCTTTTTGTGAGATTGAAGAAAACCATCTTAAGACATTAAAATGTATAAATAGAACAACAACTTTGGCAAAAAAAAAATCACAAAAAAATCTACAGTATTTATAACTACATACAAAAACACAACAGCAAAGAAAGAAATACCAGGCAAATGCATCCTCAGAACKTTGCTGCATCTTTGCTATTCAATCTTACTTTTAAGAACACTTTCCAGATAATGAGAGCAAAAATTCCCATAGAACAGAAAATAATGTTTTGGAGGTTTCAACCTTCTTTTCCTTTTCCCCAGTTTCCTTTCACTCTTAATTCCAAAGCATGTAACCTGTTATTTTAACCTACTATGTTACAAATGTTCAGGGTCAACTGAGAGAGGCCTGTCCCAAATGGGAACATGGAAACACCTGCCAGGTTGGTTGCTTTTGTTGGTTGTTTGGAGTTTTAATATAAAATAGGCATTTAGGATTTTAGGATGAGTAAAAACTTTAAGCTTGTGCATGGTGGGGTGTGAGATTTTGGCTTGCTAACTGGAGGGTATAAATGGAATTCTGTGCCTGGACCCTGTTCCATGAAGTATCAAAGGAGATTCTCACACAGCATGTGTGCCACCAAGCTCTCTCGAGGCCATTGGCTTCAGAAGAAGTTGATATAAGTAAAAGAGAGATGGATATCAGGTTTAAATATGCAGTTTTAACAATCTGTCTAGAGGCACTGGAGTTTTTTAGTTAAAAGGGGAACATGTGATCACTTTCATCACGTTTTAACTTTCCAGGCTGTGTTTATTTACAGTTACTTAAGACAACAATACAAAAGAGATAAATAAGCTTGCACTGCTAAGGGGTGGCATGTTAGGTTAGATATTGAAAATGCACTGTCTGAGCTAACTACCATTTGATATGCTTTAAGGCGCAAAAGCCGACCCTTAGTTTTCTAAAAAATCTAACTGGCATTCCTATTTCTGTCCCATACAAGCTTTTTTTTTTTTTTCTTTTTTCTTTTTTTCAACTTTTTTGTAAATATCACCACTTCATTCTCCCTTTACACAGCTTTAAAAACATCATAAATTAAAACATGGAGTCTTATTTATAGTGTCCCTCGTGTACAGCTTTATGGTTTATAAAAGACAAATGATAGCGGAGTTAAGCTTTAAAAAAAATGAGAGAGAGAAAGAAAAGTGGATTTGCTTTTATCGATACAGAATAAATATATCCCCCAAATACTTGGGAGGTACAAACTGTAACCAACACCCTGCGCTTGCAGACCCTTCCAATTTCAGTACTTGCAAGGTCGGTGATTTTTGTTTGTTTAAAAATCTGCAGTTATTGTGATTCCTCTTAAAAAGGCCTGAGTTAAAAGTTCCACTATGGGACTTGTATCAGATTACTCTCGTAGCAGAATCCAACCTCTTCATTAATAAAATTCTTCAAGGCAATTCTTTCACATGGGAGGAACAATCATGCCAGATATCGCTACGGAAAGAGAAGACAGAAGTCAATGGTTTTCATTCCAAGCATCTCGCTAAGAAGAAAAAAAAAAAAAAAAAAAAAATATATATATATATATATATATATATATATATATATATATGAAAAAAGAAAGAAAAGAAAACAGACACCCACTCATGACTAGGTTGATTGAATATTAACCACAGATGTGTTCTCCTCGGCTCAGGAATGAATTTTTTATAAAATCTACATGTACCTTATTAAGAATTATATCAGCGTGTATATGTGTCCTTAACAGAACAGAATATCCTCAACATTTTTCCAAATCTGATTTCAATTTTCAGACATAAATGGAGAGTTGCATAGTTTGAATACCGCAGGGAGGCTTGCAGCCTCAAGCTTTGCAAAATAGTGCAAATTTTCAATTTGTCACTCTTCTTTCCCTCCCCTTCACGTCCAAACTATAAAGAACTGGCCCATGGCAAGGACCAGTGATTTCTGCAGAAAACTCTGGGCTCTTCCTGGGCTCTCTATGAGCACAAAAAACTGAGCAACCTAGAGGCCATCTGACTGCAGTCCCTGGAGTCCTGGGCTGGGGAAGAAGGAAATGCCAACTACAGCAGGCATTGTTCTCYGGGAATATCCAGTTGAGAGAAAGCATGGAGGGAGTTAAGACAAGTTTGCAGGGAACTGAAGGATGTCTTCTCTATCACTGTTTTGCTCAAATTTCCTAGAATGATCTGACCAGGCTCCTTTCAAAATTGTAGCCTAGGGGACTGAAGTTGTGGCTTAGCTATAGAGCGCCCGCCTAGCATGTGCAAGGCCCTGGGTTGGATCCTCAGTACCACATAAAAATAAATAAAATAAAGGTATTGTGTCCGACTGCAACTAAAATAAATAAATAAATAAATATTTTTWAAAAAATGTAGCCTAGGAAAGCTGGGGTGAGATCTTCAGAAGAGGGAAAGCTGTTTGAGGGAACCAAAATTCTCTTCAAGGATTTGGAGTTAGGAGGCCACACATAAGTGGTAGTATTTAGGGAGCATGGAATGGGAGAGGCCAGGGCTCCAACTCAGGCTTTTCTGCCTCTGCAAGTTTCCCTGAGGTAGTTATTCATCTGCTTGAACCTCAGCYTCCTTCCTTGGGACATGCAATTAATCATGGCACTCAGGGTTATGAGAGGCTTTATAAAATAACATATGTAGAAAGCTTAGCCTGGGTCCCGCTCCTCGGAAGAACCCATCATTTTTAACCTACCACTTCTGATGCTGGGTGACCTTGTGTGTACCGTTTAAATTCTCCGGGCTATTTTTCCTCTTAACATCACCATCGTATAAGGCACACTTCCCCTAATCAGTCTGAGGAATTAAGAGGGTAGTTGTAAGAAAATGAAGAGTGTGGCAATTGTGAAAGACTGAGGGAGGCCTATATTAGAAGCATGAGGCAGTCCTCTTCAGCTCCCAGAAATGCTTAGTGTCCCTGTTAGGCCCTGACAGGAAGAAAGTCACTGTTTTTTTCTTTTCTTTCTTTCTTTCTTTCTTTCTTTTTTTTTAATTGGCAAGTCATTTAAATGACTGTTCTTGTCAGTACAGACTATGACTCGGAAGTATCCCCCTCTTCATGATCAAGCACCAAGTCTGGAAGAAAGTGTCTTTTTTATTTTTATTTATTTTTTTAGTGAACCCCCACTACCACAAATCCTGCAGTGAATTCTGGGAGGCCAGGCAGGACTCTGAGCCCTGAGCCCCCCCCCCCCCATCTCTCTGGCTTCCCCTCCCCCACCCCCTGACATTTTAGATTCAATTAAAAGAAAAACCAAAATGTATTTTGCCAAACACTTTTTCCGTTAATTTTTAAACCCATCTGTATTCACAAGGAAATTCAATCCACATGTTTCTGATTCATTTACACGTAAATCATCCAAATGTTGTTTTGCAAGAGCCCTTTTGCAGTCCAAAAGCTCCTGGAGTCCTTTTCCTAAGCCCTCATAAGCCTTTTTTTCTTAGAAACAGGAAGTTGTCTTTTGCCAAAGGCAGACCAACTTAAACCCCCAAAGATTTTGGATCAGTCCAAAATGCTGTTGCCCTAAGAGTCAAGTGAGCCCTAGATTTCACTGAAACGGGGAGCTCAGTATTTCAAGCCAAGCCTGAACTTGAGAATTCAAAATGCTGTTAGCTGCAAAGAGGAGGGGTGAGGGTCCCTGTAGTGTGACAACTTGCTGTGGCTCTGCTTCCCTGAGGATGCTTTCATTTGGGATCCCAGTGGGTCCCAGCACCCTGCCTCAGGACAGTAGTATAACCCAAGAAGCGAGTCTCCTTTGCCTTCTCCTGACATGTCCTCTGTGTTCCCCACATTAAAGGACCATTGCCTACTGCATGGCTGAATGACTCAAGCAGTGTCAACTTAATTCCAAGCAAAGTTAGAAAGTTAACAACCTTCCTGCAGCTGTGGTCCTTGGACCTGGCTAACGTGTATCAGGAGGTAAAGCACAGGTAACTAAGGTACTAATCTGTAGCTGACAGCACTTTTAATCTGGACTACAGGAGTTGCACACTTCAGTACCTCATGACCTGGGCAMATGAGCAAGCAATGTTCCCTGAGTAGGGATGGAGGGGACAGTACCAAGACCTTGCTTTCTGCAGAGTGAGTAACAACTTGGTTCCCCCAAAATGCTGCTCTGTAGGAACAAAGCTAGGCCCTGCTTCTCTGATTTTAAGAGAAGCTAAAGATGTGAATTAAAAAAAAAATAAATAAAAAGATTCAATAGCCCAGTAGCCCAGCTTACAGATGTTAGCAAATAACACATTAAAAACAAACACACAGATCTGAGGGCCTCTAGGTGGTAGATTTGGCCTGCCCCATTGCCTCACCTTTTCTTGCTTGGCTCATGTTCTGGTCTCAGAGTCTCAGAGGCAGGCATGGACCTACACCGAGAATTTTTGTATACTATCCGGGGACTACAGCATCCTAAATCTCATGCATGGATTTCCTAAACTCCAAAGACAGAAACTTTATTGCTAAGTAAATTCCAGGAACAGATCACTGTTTGAGTTTCTGAAGTGAGGTACCTCAAAAGAGATCTTTTCATTAAGAAAACTGACTGCATGATTGTGTGAAATCCTTGGGTTTAAAAACTGTTCTCCTTATATCTGCRCTGCAATCTGAAAATTAATTATGTGGATGAGAGGGATGGGTGTCTGAGACTTGGAATGTTCCAGAAATGCCACTGGTATGYAGACTTGCCCAAGTGAGGCCCAAGAAGATTCCCATGAGGACGCCACACTCGGTACCATGTGCCCAAACATCACAAGACCATGGGGGTGCTGACATTTCTCCCAGCAGCTGGGTGATCACATTCTCTGACAGAACTCTCCCACCACCACCACCACCAAAAAAGAAAAAAAAAAACTATTGGTTTGAAAAGCAATTCAGTTTTCATTATGGTCTATACATTTTGATAAGAGCATAGACAAAAATGAACAGTTTTGCAGAGCTGAGAGAGATGGGGGTGAGAGGGTAGAAGAGTACCCCCCTAACACACCGTATGTGTAAGAATTATGAGCTTAACAAGCATGGGGGTGGGGGAGTGTAGATCTTGAACAAACTGCATATGTGCATGAAAAGAATTCTATAGGATGTGGTAGCAGACAGGGTCAGGGTCTAGAGGAGGCAGCCAGGCTGAGCTTCAACAAACTGGGAAAGAAAAAAAAAAGTATATGATTGGGGACCATTTCTGTGAGATCCTCCTGGCCTTTATGTTCTTAATTTTTTCACTGCATACTGTTCAGGGCATGGTTAAGATCAGAAACTCAACATTCATGGGGATTCCAATGGCATGTGACAGCTTTCTTAGGGCTGCCTCTCTTTTGATTAACGAATTCCTCTAATCCCGACTCGTATAGGACCTATCCTCTCAGGGGCATAAGCTCTAGGAGAAAGGAGAGGACATTTCCATGGATGGAGACAGAGCATAGCTGGTGACTCAAGTCATTGGCCTGTGAAAACAGACACACTGGGGAGGTCTGGGGTCAGGATTTGCCTGTGACTTCATCCTGATAAGAATGGAAGGAGGCTTCTCTGCGTTTTTCTATCAATTCAAAATAGAGCTGTAGTTTTCAAAGATTTTCATATGATATTAATTGGTCTTAACATGTGGAGGAGTATTCTGTGGGCAAATAAGGTTAGCAAACAAAATGGAATATCATTGGCCCTCCATATTCACGGGTTCCGCATCTGCAGAGTCAACCAAATATGGGTCAAAAAATCTGGAGGACATTATGTTAAGTGAAACAAGCCAGGCACAGAAAGACACATACAGCATGTTCTCACTAATAAGTGGAAACTAAAAAGTTGATTTCAGAGACATAGAGAACAGAGTTGTAGTTACCAGRCCCTGGGATGACGGGATGGGGAAAGGAGGGTTAACAGGTACTGGAGCAGGTGGRTTAAAGGAATGGCTTCTCATGTTCCATAGCACAGCCAGGTAACTAGCTGATGACAATTAATAGAACATTTCCACTAGTTAGCAGAAAGGGTTTTGAATGTTCCTAACAAAGAAATGATAAATATCTGAGAYGACAGCTATGCCAGTTACCCTGAACTGACCTTTACATATACGTTCCAATGTCACATTGTACCTTACAAACATGTCAGATTACTGTGTCAATTAAAAATAAATTTTTCAAATTTAAATTTTAATTTTGAAATTAAAAAATCATATCTGTACTAAACATGTGAAGACTTTGTTCTTGCTATTCTTGAAACAATATGATATAACAAGTATTTACACATCATTTACATTGCATTTGTCATGAGTAACCTAGAGATGACTTAAAAGAATCGTGGAGGATGTGCCAAGGTTGTATGTAAATTGCATGACWTTTTATATAAGGGATATGAGCATCTATGGATTTTGGTATCCAGAGGGGTCCTGGGATTAATTCCCAGTGGATACCGAGGAATGACTGTAGTTATTTTTTGTCCAGCTGCAAGATATCTCAGCACTTTTAGTAAACTCATAGTACCATGTGGCTCACCAAGACAGTGTGACTCAGTAAGCATCATTTGCTGCTTATTTGACMWCAACAATTTTACTTTTTTAACACAACATTTTGCAAGGCTCCAGGAGTGCTGAGACAAAAGAGTCACTTTGTCCTAAAAAACTTTCTCCTAAATATGATCAATTTTCAAAGGTTTTATGTGCCTGGGAGACAAAGGCTGTTTGGATCCCAATGGAACCTGTGAATAACAGCAGATATAAAGAGGAGTAGGACTCATGGAAGGAGTAGGACTTGGAAGGTCTGTCCTTGGAACAGACCTCCTTCTGCCTCTCCTGCTTCATGTCTCCTGTGCTCCAGGTTGCTGAGCTACTCACCAGTTCCTGCACATTAACCAGCACTTGTCTGCCTCTGTTCCCTGGCTATAGTTGTCCTTGCCCTTCTGCTTAAACTGACTTTCTCTGCCAGCTCCACGTACTGGAATCCTACTTGCCCTTCATCTGAGATACAGTTGAAGGACAGCTGTAGCCATGAAGCTCTTCCGATTCTCTCTAATCCTTCCCTCTGTACTTCTTTCGGTGTCACGTCTCCTCTAATACAGAGAGAGTTTGCAATGTTGGGATTGTGTAATCCATATGGGGCTAACAGTTTGGCTTGAACGTAGTTTGGCAAAGCAGCAGAGGTTGGAAATAGGGGCATGGAAGTTTGAACCCTGTGTTCCCTATCTACTGAAGGGAAGATTGGTTGAATATGTCTGGTTGAATACCTCTACACAAGCCATCTTATCACCAAGTCTTGATTTCAGTGTCAGAAAGTGGGGACAATAAACATCAAAGCACACYTGGGAAGACCACAGAAGCCAGGCTGGGAGCAAGCCCTCTATGTGAGCGGTGTGAGGAACCTCCTCACCACCAGTGCCTGTCTGTCAGGGATGGAAATGCTGCAGTCACCGAAGGAGGCTTAGTCAGGATTGCTAGCAAAGAGAGCTTTAAGGAGTAGGCTTAAACAAACAAAAAAAAAATCTTGAATGATATACAATTAACRGAGTGGTAGTTGGAGGTAAATAGGCCTTTAAAATACTTAAACAGTCTAAATGTGTCACCTTTAATCTTGTTTACATGGTCAATTTGCTTAACCAACTCTTCCTTCATCACTTGGCCCGTCTTAATGATCACAGTTCTGAACTGGTTGAGTCCARATAAAGTAGGTGCTACTGGGATACAACAAAGGACAAGTAAGACCCTGTAAGACCCTCCCGTGAGGCAGTGCTTCAACCCACATARGCCCTTTCTAAAGGTCAAAGTGAAGTTCAGAAGGTTAAAGATGATGTAATTCTAGAAGCCCACTATTAGAATATTGCTTTTCCCAGGGAGACTCCAAGGCCCAAACAAGAGCCCCCCAAGGCTGGGTTCTCCTTGTCCTATTGGAGATTGCATGTGGAGGGTGAATGTGTGATTTGCAGAGTGGGCTCTACCTAGTGAGTGCAGGGTTGGGGGAAACAGACAGGAAGAACAGTCTCAAGTAATGAGGTCTTGGTTAATTTCACTTGAATTTCTACACCCCTGCTTCCACTACTGTCGTCCCTCAAGACTTGGGATGTTTGGTACATGATAGCATTGGGGGGAATAAAAAAGCATTTTGTTTTCTTTTGATCATGCTCAATTAGTCAGAGCATGGGGTAGAGAAGAGTCTGTAAAGAATCACACATGTCTAGTTGGAATGGAAGGGGTTTCATCATGAGAGCACCATGTGTCTTGAGCCAGACCCTGGGTCCTCCAAGCCCCACGCCCATGTGTCAGACATGGTGACACAGGGGCAGAGATTCAGCCATTAACATGAAGACATTGGGCCTTGCTGAAAGGTTTCCCTGAAGCCACTGTGGGCTGCTGATACAGCAGCAGATGTGACGCAGCAGGGGTCTTTTCTTCTGGTTTTTTTGTCCACTGTTTATGGCAAACCCCATTCTGTACTACTCCTCGTGTCAAATCTATGTTCCACCAGGGTTGAAAACCAGTCACTCAGGAATGGTCAATTCCTGTCTCCTTAGGTATATCATCATTCTTTAAGCCTATTATAAGTTACCGTCGCTTCAGCATCCTGACCCTAGTGTGCCAGCTGGAGACACAGTGTTATTTTTAACTGAAAAAGTGTCACACTGGCAGGAAGGGGTGGCTCTCCTCTGTGGAGGTAGGTACCTCCTATCATGAATAACACTGACTGAGATGCAATTCCCTGGGGAAACTTCTTTTCCTCTTTCTCTAAGAAGATGGAYTGGCCAACGTGTGGAGGAGTGAGTGGCATTTGTGTGCTATGCTGAGCACTGTCTTTGACTTTGCTGAGCAGATTGGACAGCAGGTTCTGGGGAATGTTTTGAAAAGCCCGGCTASAGGCAGGGAAGCAGAGTGATTAGGTTCTCAGGCCCTAGAGTCACAGGCTTTAGGCTCAATTTTGGCTCTATGTTTTACTATGTGACCTTGAGCAAACTGTGCCTCAATCTTCCCTTCTATAGAACAAGTACAAGATTGGCCTGACAGGGTCTTTGGGAGAATGGATACCTGCCACAACAAGAGTACCCAGTTCACGGTGTGGGTGTATGAGTATGCATGCAGCATACAGAACAAATAGGCCTGGGAAATGCCAAATGTGTGACTACTCTCTTGACCCCTTCCTGGCCTCCATGRTTGATCTCCATGAGTGACAAGCCAGACACCAACATGAGACACTGTGGGGAGCCATGCAGGGCAGAGACTAATGACACAGGTCCCACTGGGGTTTACATTCATTCCCATCATTTGCTGGCTCTGTGGGCAGATATTTACCCCTCCTTCATCACGTGCACCATAGTGATCCTAATACCCTTCATGCTCATCACAGCCAGCTCCCTGTTTAACACTGCCTCAATATACTGTTCTGTGCTCAGTAAATGGTGGCTGATTATTTTATTGATTTTATTTCCCTGCCAGCTGCCTTAGCAATCTGGGATATGTCCTCCTTACCCCCTATGAATAATAAAGCTCTTGGGAGATGGAAAGAGGAGGTGAATTTTTGAGCTCGATTTTGAAGCCAGCATTGACCTCCCACCAGCTGTTGGGTGTCAAGCAATTCACAGCCTATGCAAACTTTAGTTTTCTCATCTGTAAGGTCGTGATCATGAGAACCTACCACAACTCCTGCTGCAGAAGAACAGATCAGGTCCTACTGGCCAAAACCATACTCAGGGTAGGGCACATAAGAAAAGGTGAGAAATAGTGGACCCATTTTTAAAGGTTCCCCCCCCCCATAATGAATGAAAGCTCATCTCAAGGATGATGACTGTTATTTTCCACATTCTGTGGTGGGAAAGAGATTCAACCATTTTAGTATGAAGCAGAATACCCTAGGGTTTCTGGTGCTAGGCAGGAAGGTGCTGCTKGGCTTTGGTGTGTGATCATTCACTTGGGGGCTCTGATCAGGCTGTGGCTCATCCATCCCTATTATCAGCCCAACTCATGCTCACTCTGATTCAGGCAACAGGAAGGAAACACTGAGTGACCTACTGCAGGAGAAGGCCAGTCCCCAGAGACACCCTGCAGCAGAGAACTCGTTAGCATCCACGGAAGACTAGCCTAATAATAGTGACAACGGGAAATGGGGAAGAAGAAGGGAGAAGTGAGTCATCACTTTTCGTTAGTGAGTGGAGACAGTATTCCCAAGCAAATTCTGAGCCTGAGCAGAATTGCTGGAGTTGGCCAGAGGATTTCTGGGGCTATTTCAGTCAAGCCAGGACCCAGGAGAATGAACCCAAAGGAATAAGCGATGAGGTCAGGGAGAATCAGGAGGCGCACGGCTACTCATGTCAGCAGCCGTGATGCACCCGCTTCAGGCCCTGGCTGAGGGGTGAAGGTGCATCCACTCTGGATGGACCACCGGGGCCTGGGACTTACCTTGCAGGCTGTTCCCATTGGTGCTGGTGCAGGTGGGAGGCGGGGAGGTCTGGGGTCTGACGACCGGGGCGAAAGCACTCTTCTGTTTCACGGCTGAGACCATGTTGGCTGGTGAGAAGGAAAAGATGCCCGAGGAGCTGCTGCAGTTGGAGGGGAGGCTTGTGGAGGAGGCCATGGTGGGGCTGGATGGCACGACTGAGGGGGCAATGGGAAAGAAATGTCAGTGCCTCTCGTGGCACCCTGAGATRAGCTTGGAGCCTTGACCAGGCCAAACTCAGGCATGAACCCTCCCCGAGTTCTCAGGACGCTGTACCTTTCCATCATTTGGTACTTGGATACCTTTCACTGTTGCTGATCTTCTGTGTGTTTATTGTGGGCCTACGGTGTGTCCTGTAGTGTGTGAGGCACTGGAGTCATAGTTAACAGTTTCCTGCAGGGGGAATGGTCCTTTCTGATCAGCCCAAGGCAGTACATGCTGAGTGTGTTATAGAGCAAAACAGAGCCACYACCCTCAGAGTCTTCTAGGCCAGGCCATGAGAGTGCAATTCCTTTTCATCTGAGATGGAACAGCATAAAACAGTGACAGACAGGAGCCTGGCCAACTCTGAAGTCAGGAAGGGAAATCAGAGAGAGCTCCCCCARAAAAGATGCCCAGGGAAGGATTCTAGGTGGGGCCTAAACTAAGGTGTTATTAGTTTAACACCTTATTTAAAGGGACTGGGGATAGAAGGGATTGGGAGAGGCCAGCTCCAAAGGGAGTAGTCATTATGATGGAATGGGATGTAAGAGGGTGAGCTGAAGGCAAGACCAAGATTCCAACTTAAGGCACTGGCAGATAGTGGTGGGAGTATCCCATTTCTCTCCAAGGGGCTGAGTTCTTTGAAGACGTTACGCTCCCTCAAGTTCCACTGCATAGATCTCCATAGCTTGGAAGCCAGGTTGATAAACAAGACTACTGTATGCAACAGTTGTGGAAAACGCAGAGCTATAAGCCCAAGTTCCATAGCTTGGAAGCCAGGTTGATAAACAAGACTACTGTATGCAACACTTGTGGAAAACGCAGAGCTATAAGCCATTCTCCTGTGAAGCTGAACATAAATGTTTGTGAATTCTAGCACTAGGCTAGAAGTCTTATGTAAATACTCACAGTCTGGGAGTAGTGGGGTGCAGATAATCAATGGTGGGAGAACTTTGGCAATTCAGAAAGAGAAAACCGAGCTGCTTGGGGATATGAAAGAGCTTGGCACAGGGACATTCTCATGGTCCTATGATCTGTATGGCCTTTCCTCTCTTGTGCATGGTTAATTTATTTCTTAGTTACTTCAGGAGTCAAGAGATTTTGAACATTATGCCAAGGCTAATGTCCTCATACCCTCACTTTCTATTTCCTCCATTTCCTGCAGAAAATTATGAATCTTGTCCAGTGATTTCCAGGCATTTAATTTAAATTCTAGGCACTTCCACCTACCTTATTATGTTTCATATTATTTAATAAACATCACATATTGCTTTGTCATGCACAAGAATCTTCACATCTTTTTCCTCTTGTCACTGGTAAAGCAACCTTAAGTCAGAGTCTATGTCGTGTTTTTTGCACCAGAGCAATTGCAACTCAGAAGCAGTTCAACAAATTGCTCATAGCCATCACTATGACTATTATGAAGGGAAGGATCAAATTCAAATTTAGTGTTCTTTTCACTCTGCTACCCTGAGAAGGAAACAGATCTCCAGAGGAAAAWGCCCCCTTCCTGTGAGCCCATCAGGGTCCAAAGAGCTGTGTGGGTGGCCTAATCCCTGGCCTTCTGGCTTTGGGAAGTTAGGGATGTGGGAATCCAATGGGTTGCAGGTTACCCATTAGATTCAGGGAAAAGGACCCCTGTATTCTACTCAAGGCACTTCCCAGCCCAAAGGCTGGATGTTTTCTGGGCAGAACACAGAGCGGACACCCCCAAGATGCTCAAGAGTTTTTACGAACATTTTCTAAACTGTACTTTTTCTTTTAATGAGGCCAGCATTTTTATACATCTCTTAGGATTTGTAAATGTGAAAATACGTTCAATAATAACACCCATTTAAATTGCAAAACTCCTGCACTGGAGTTGATTTTTAAATATTCGTAGACTTGAAATCCTGCTGGTTCACTGAGGAAGGCAATTAATCTCGTTGGCAAATGCGATCATTATGTGTATTTAGAGGTGGGGAATTTGGGGGGAGGTTAACAGAGGAAGGGGTAAAAAATAGTCACGCAGCTCCATTTGTTATAACATTATTAGTTATCAGCCACCACACCAAAAGTGTGCTCACCAGTAGAATGTCTTATTTTATTTTTTTATTCTGTTGGAATTTTTCAACATGAGTGGTTTATGAATAATTAAATATCATAGAGGCAAAAATTCAAATCAGCTGGGCTTTGTGTTTATTGTTTTATTTGCATTTATGCAGATAAAACCGTCCCATCTGAGAGCCTGTTTGAGAATTTAATACTATATTTGTGAGCACTGAAGAAATCAATTAATGGAAATTAAATGTTCGAAGTTTCACAGTCTAACAGATGCAATCTCAGACTGGATTCGCTGGGTGTGCACAGGCTTGAGGGGAACAACCCAAGCCCCTAAATTGAATTGCTACCATAGAGCAATTAGTTTATTGATTTAATTAAGAATGCCACCTTTTAATTTTCAGGTCATGATTGAAACATTTTCTGATTGAATAGATGAGAGAACACAGAAGTGATAGATCTGTGGGAAAGTGTCTTTCAATACATCAAAATCTGATGTGAAACTGACCCCAAGTGTTGACTCCTGAGCAGATAGACACTACATGCAGATTATTTGGAGATTTTTTAAATGTTCAACAAACTGCTAATTCCAAGAAAATAAAATAGAATTATAGAATTCCACACAGCCAGAAAGTGAAAGACCTAAGTAAGCCTTTAGAAATAACTCTCTTAGAGGTCAACAATGAACTTTTCTCTTTCAAAGGATTTTCATACTTCACATTTCCACTACAACAGAGGACAGCAGTTTTTAGCATTTTTAGTTAAAGGTTTTCCTTTAAAAATCATGAATATTCTTTCATTTAACAGCACACATCTGTCCTCCTATAGATGTTTACAAGTTTGACCCCATTTATACATCAGAAGACACGTCCAAGATGAACTTGGTTATCTATGTAAAGATGCATAGAGGGAGATCAAAAGGTTGTTATGACCCATAACATTTTATAGAGAGAGATGGTAATGTGTTGTGGCTCTTTAGATGTATGTTATACATAAAGGCGCCAATTTTTGAGGTTCTTTAGATACAATTTGAATACTGTACCCAAACAAATCCTTTAAGCTAAACTTCCTTAAGACAGGGACAAGGTACTAAAAAATGAATGGAAATATATATGCATGCACACACATGTATATACATATTTTAAGAACACACTAAATACAAATGGGAAAAATCCAAGCATTAATAAATAAATAAGTGGTATTCCTTAAGAGGAGATGTTAAGCTTTGGGTTGTTGTTACTACAGAATCACCGTCCCTTATTATCTTTCCATAATTGTGATTATGACTTGGATTTTTGAACGTGCCTCTCATGGGCCAGGACTTGGGGCAAACTCATTGTGAGCATTATCTTTTCCATGCCTTGTAGCACTGGATGGGGTGGACACTAGCTCCTTCCCTATTTTATAGATGAGAAAACTGAGGGCTGGGAAGGAAACGAACTTGCTCAGGGTCTCTAGCTAGTAACTGGTAGAAGCAGTGCCAACTGACTACTGCCCTCTGACTCCAAGTGTGGGTTCTTGGGATGACATGATCTGTTGCAGCAAAATTATGACTCTTGGAAGGACACTTTGGGGTAGAAGGTGAGAAGGTGAGCAGGGCAGTGAGAGATTTCTGCTGGAGATGATGGTGCTTTAACAGCATCATGGGAGGGCATGCCTTGCAGCAGAGGACCCTCAGACTGAGCAGCCCTACCCAGTGGGCTCTTGTAGGGAGAAGGTGCAGGACACATGTCTACTTACTGGCATAGGGCGAGTTGGCAGCGGAGCCGTTGAGGAAGGTTGGGGAGCCGCCCAAATTGGACATGGCGGCAGAGCCGTAGCCGTTCATGCTCGTGGTGACAGAGTTATAGTTGGTCTGCTGGGGGGTGGTGCTCGGCACATACCCATGTGGTGACACGCTGCTTGAGTTGCGGGTGAAACCTGAGGGGTAGAGACAAAACCAGGGGTGAGGGTGGTGTTCAGGTGGTGGCAGTCCTAGCCACCACCCAGAGGGAAGGGATTGGGTGATTCATRTGCGTGGGTTGGTGGTGCTAGCTCTGTGATTAAAATGGGAAGCGAGCAAAAGACACATTTCTTAGGAGATCATAAATACTTAGCAGGGCTGTGAGAAGTGGCAATGCAGGGCCTATAAATTATCATTTTGGAGCAGAAATAAATACCAATCTAAGAGATGCACCCTGGAGTTAACAGGTTCCTCTTCCCTGGGTAAGAATGATGTGTTTTGGCCCCTCGGAACTTTAATTCCAGCCCTCTTTGTGATCTGTCATTCATGGTTTATGGTGAACAGTCAAATGCAGAGGTGGCTACATGCATGAGGCTTTTCGAGTCCCTTGCCCCATTTCCAGATGCGAGAGTAGAAGGAAAATTCTACAATAATGTCAATGCACGTGAACTAGGAATCTCCCCTTTGGGAAGAAAACAACTTTTTAAAATTAAAAACTGATGTCAAACAAACGTTGTGGAGAGCCTGAGGTTGGAAGGGCAGGGAAGTGGGAGGGAGGAAGGGAGTCAGCTCTGACCCTGACTGGTGGCTTGTGATGCCTCGGAGACATTCACGGCCAGTTGTCCACTGAAGGAATTCACGCCCATCATCCCTGTATGGACCGAGGTGTTAGCAAGGGCCGGGAGCTGGTTGTGGTTGCGAGGAACACTGTACAGGGCCTCTGCAATGTCAGCTGCTCTCTTCAGAATAATTTCCTGAAAAGTCAAAGGAACATCCCCTTTAGTTAGCCCCAGTCACAGTCCCAATAAGACCCTTTCTCAGTGCTTACTCTCTTCCAGGCACCGTGCTCAGGGCTTTCCACAACGGCTCACCATATTAATTTCTGCATCCCTGCTGAGRAACCCCAGTATCCTCATTACCACACCCAGATCACAAATGGGGAAACTGAGGCCCAGAAAAGCAAAGGCCTCACTTAAGGGCAGAGTTGAGGTGCCATTTATGAACTCTTGAAGTCCATTGGGATTTCACCTCTCCACTAGTAACACCCAGGAGCTTTGAGGTCACTGCATGATGGGRAGCTGCAATTCATGTCCCCTACTGCTGTAAAGGACAGGGCTGGGAGCCCAAGTGTTAGTTTGGTGTGTGCCCGAACACTGACTCAGGAAAACAGATGAAGGATTTGTCAGATTCAGGTTCCAAAGCAAACTGAATTCCATATGCAGAGCTGCTCTTGAAACAGAAATGGACGGTTCTATTCAGACCTCACTGTACTTTTTAGGAGGAGAAATTAAACTCCCTTCTCCTCCGAAATTTGCTTGAAAACCTGAGAGAAGTAAAAATGAAGCACCAGCAACTCTCTTCTTCAATTACGAAGTACCTTCCCARTAGAGATTAGTTTTACACGAAATATTTCTTTCCTGGTAAAGGAATATGACTCCATAGAGAAGGCAATAAAAGATTTGCAAATAAAAGGAAAGAATTGAAGAGCCCTACACCATGTCCTGTCTGAATTACTTATCCTCCTAACTCATGCACATGCCTTTTATATCTTTTGTGCTTTCTCCTACTATAAAGAATCCGAGATCCTCAACTAAACGAGGACATCCACAAGGGTAGACACCCAGACTCACCTGGTTGTTGTGCGGCATGCCGTACAGYGCTTCCACCAGATCCGCAGCCCTTTTGAGTATCACCTCCTGTCAAAAGAAAAGGAGATACAGTGCTCTGAACGGAGGCAGGTTGTCCTTATCTTTTCACATGATCATGTTCCGGTCCTCKTGGCTCTACTTTGCCAAGGCATGGTTATAAAAGCAGTAGCTCAGGGATCCCCAGACTGGTGTTAAATCACCAATTTATCCTTGTTCACATACACACTTAATCGAGTCAAAAGGTGAGCATCATTGGTACTGCAAGATAAAATAGATCACTCGATAGTCTGCCATGGGCACGATAAAGCACTCATATGTTTATTGCTGAATACAATTCCTAGGTCATTTACTAGATTACTACAATCGATGTCATTCAGTGCATGTTATGAATCCCTAAGATGTGTTTATTTTGCRCTTAATTGCTTATTCCAGGAACCATGACCTTATCAGACAGGTCATTTTCAAGGGATTTCCAATCAATCTTCAGCTACTGGAAGCATGTAGCATTGAACTTCTTTTGTTTATCTCTCCTGTATGGCCAAGCTGTGGTGTAAGGGAGTATGCCAGAAACCCCTCTCTAAAAAGAAATTCTCATGACTAGCAGCATCTGTGTCTCTTACCACAATTCTTTGCTATTTCAGTATTCTTTTCTGTCATTTTCCTCTTTTGCTCATTCATTCTCATCCTCGATGTATGCTTTGCTGCTCATTCTGGCTGACAAAAAAAAAAATACAATACCTCCCTCTTTTCATGAAGGGGGCTTCTACATTTAGCTTCCATAGTTCTAATAATGTGGGGTGTTCCATCAAAGTGCACCCAGTGGTAGTTTTTTTTTTCTTCTGATAAAAAGAAACGATTCCTTCTTCTTTATGTCCTAATTACCTACAGATTCATTTATACTAGAATCTGAAAAGGAAAGCAAAGTTTGATGCAAGTAAAAATGCAGGCTTAGCAGAGAACCAAACCAAAGAGCTGGGTGTGATTACCCGAGGTGATGCTCAGGAAGCTCTGTTTACTATTTCCTGCTGTTGGTAAAGTTTCAGACAGAAGTTTAACTTTAAACGTTTCACACAATGGAGTTCAGCATAAGAGAAGCAGAGYCGTTCAATTTTCACAGACTGCAGACACTGATCAGAAAATAGGGAAATAATTGCGTTCATTTTGCTGTCACCAGAGCCTCTTCAAAAATCCTTGAACAACTCTTGAAATGACAAGCTTTTAGATACATATTAGCATTTTTCAATTTTAAATTCTCTATAATATAAGATAAAACAGTTGTCATACTGCCGTAACTACTTATGACATATATAATGTCCTAAATTCAAAAATGAGATAGAGGGGTTTTCAGTTCTCAATAAACATTTATGCTTGCCTTAAGCGGTTAGACCCCCTGTATAAAACAATTCAGTTATTTTCCACATAGGGAGTGAAAAGCATTATATAATCAATGGAGTTTGAACCAATATATCTGAAATCATTTCTTTACTTTTTAATGCAAGCTACAAGATAATTTACCACTTTTTGTTTGCAGTATTGTCTGACCACAGCAGTTAATAATTCACTACGGTGTGGGCACACTAAACCCTATCCTCAGATCAAATTCAGCTTGTGTTGCTTTTGCTAAAACCTCATGGCTTTATCTGGCTCTTAGGAAAGATTAAAACAAAAACAGGATCAAGTTAGTTTATTTACTAAGATTTGACTTCTCTGGGTTTATGTTCATTTATTTCTTCAAATAAATATTTATGCCAATGTTTGGGCTTGGCAGAGAAGGTATTTTTCTTTCTTTCCATTTTAGGGGGAAAAATACAAGTTTGTCAAAAGCATGAGAGGGATGCTAAGGCAGTGCRCTTGGGAACTTTGCTTTTGCAACACTATAATTGAGGACTAAGTTATATTTTAACTATTTTAATTGATTTCAAAGAAYGAGGGAAGAGGGAAGTTAAAAAATTACTCCACAATTTTGAAGATTTTTGTAGACCTAAAAAAAATACCATCTTTTGAAGCATATTATGTATCTTCATCTTATATATTTTCGGTGACCATGTTTTTCAGCCACAGAATTCACTGGGTATTTGATCCTCTGAAAGCAAAGCACGTGAATCTTGTTTCCTAAAGTTGCATTTCTGCTCTTATCCATGATGGCAGGACCTGTTCTTCCATTCTTCACATTGCCACAAGTGTGTGTTCAGCACGACACTGCTTCAGGCCAGCAGTCTTGAATGCRAGGAGAGTGAGCCTGGCTTTCTAGTTCTGGAAGCTGTGTCCTTCCATGATATCCCACCCATTTGAAAATGCCCTGCACTGTGGTATCAACTTAGGGTTCAAGGGAGACCCCCATTTGGTTCAGTACTGCCAATACTGATATTTGTTATTTCTGCAAATGGGAAGGAGAAAGGACATTTCTGGGTCCTCCATGAGTTAGTGCGACAGACCTGCAAGGTGCTTGGATTTCGGTGACCAGAAAATTGCTCTCACCTCGATGTCATTACGTTCCCAGTGAACTAGCCCCCAAGCGTGTTTGTGTTGGGGATCTAATATATTGCCTTTCAATCAGAGCTGAGAGCCACTGAACACACAGACAGAACATGACGAGCAGGTCAGGAAAGCAATAAAGATTTTACAGAGCTGTCCAAGGTGCTAAATTTACTCAATAATGGGTTTGGCACCATGGTGTTAACCTCTCATTTACTACCAGTTTGAGGGACTAAATTGAAGTAGCTGACTTCATTTACCTTGAAATGTATATTTTATGACATTATGTAAGTAGATTGAAAGGGCACTGCAGTTTTAACAATTTAAAGGCTAAAGCATGTTTAAGATGAAACTTGAATATTTATTGTATATTGCACTTAAAGTATATAGAATGTTAAAATGTATTGATTAAATTTGTAAAAGGCATTATAAAAATGACAGGTAGTATAAAAGATGTATGTCTTTAAAAATCAAATTGATAGTATATGCTATCTCTTCTGTGGTCACAAGTGTAATTTTTTTGCAGTTTTATATGGTAATTTGAAAATTCTGTAATTTCACATTAGGAAATGATTGAGCCTAGGATGTTAAAAAAAAAAGAAAGAAGCTTCCCATAAGGAGAAGAACTGGGTATTTCATATAATCTTTTGTCTCTGAAATTATTCCTAAAGTCCTATTTTTGTGGCATTAAGAAGGAGTATAGTATAAGGATCCTTCAATTCTAATATTCAATTTTAGTATTTCTAAAAAGAAAAAGCACTTGGAAAGTACTAATATCTAATTTTTCAAGGCATTTATTTGTCAGGAGAGATTTTCTCTTCTTTTCATAATGTTTAAAACGTCTCCCTGCTTGCAGTTTCAAACATGAGAGTAGAGATTAGACTCTACCAAGATAATTAATCCTATCCTCGGACTTGGAAAAAAARTCCCATTTGGGAATTAAAAAGACAAATGCTTGTATTCTAAATATTGAAAAGCCCTAGAGCCTCCTTAAAGACAGAAAGCTTGTTCTCCAATCTACATCCCGAGTTAAACTATTTTTTTCTTTTCAWGGCCTCAGATCTTCTCTCTTAAAGAAACAGAAAATGGCTATTCCTTAAAAGCAACAATTTTGTACTAATCTATTTCCTCTCACCATCAAAATTTGGCTTCACCTCTCTTGCAGTGATTATGTGAGTGGGGGACTATAGAGGAAAAATGTGGATATSACATATAAATTCTATTTAGATCTACAGAAATATTGGAGAGACTCAAGAAGAAACTGGGCTGTAAGAAACAGTTTGAGTATAACCACGCTTAGTACTTATGACTTTGAAAATTTTTAATAAAAAATGCTGMTCAGGGCCCAGGGTGGTGGCACATGTCTGTAATCTCAGTGGCTCGGGAGGCTGAGGTAGGAGGATTGCAAATTCAAAGCCAGCCTTAGCAATGGCGAGGCACTAAAGCAACTCAGTGAGACCCTGTCTCTAAATAAAATACAAAATAGGGCTGGGAATGTGGCTCAGTGGTCGAGTGCCTCTTAGTTCAGTCCCCTGGAAAGAAAGAAAGAAAGAAAGAAAGAAAGAAAGAAAGAAAGAAAGAAAGAAAGAAAGAAAGAAAGAAAGAAAGAAAGAAAGAAAGAATCTGAATGGGCTACACATACAAAGAGAAGCTGCAGCCCTATCAGTTGGCAAATAATTTTTGAGCTTTTAATTGCCCCAGCCATACTTTTGAATATTATTCTCCAGCAACTTTCAAGGTAGGGTGTTTCCCAGCACTGAGCTGCGGGTTCTAGGGTTATCCAAGGTCACCTTGGTCCTCTGGTTCTGCCCTCTTCACCTGGTCTCCTCTCCCTGTGCCTCTGAAGAACTGCTCTCTATTCTGGTCCAGTCCCTCCTCCCCAGCCTAGAAGSAAAGCACTGGGCCCCTTCCTTTCTCCATACCCTCCTCCTTTGGCCATTCCTTCTTTCATTTTTTTCCCTCCTTTCTTTGCAGTGCCCAGCCACAGTGCCTTCCATTCCTCCCAAGCCCTTTCCAGAAGGTAGCAGCAGTGGTAGAGGAATGAAAGGGAGAGCTATCATTTATTCAAAGTGGAACGTGACCTCCCTCCATCTTCACAGAGCCTCTGAACGTGCTGTTCATATTACCATTCTGCAAATGAGGAAACTGAGACTCAGAAAGATCAGCTAATGTTCTTTCTGATGAGTGGCCGAGCAGGGATTCCACCCCAGGTCTGTCGGGTATAAAAGCATGAACTCTAAGAAACAGAACTTCTATTCTATCAGAAATAATTCTACYTTTAGTGATACCCCATCTCCTCATGTATTTCATTCCTCTGAAAAAGAGTGTTGACCTTCTACATCACCCAGCATGACACCTGGTCCATGCTCTGGGTCCTTCTGCCCCACTCTGATGTGAGTGGGGGACTATAGAGGAAAAATGTGGATATGACATATAAATTCTATTTAGATCTACAGAAATATTGGAGAGACTCAAGGAGACACTGGGCTGTAAGAAACAGTTTGAGTGTAACCACCCTTCACCGCCCTCCACAGATACACTGGAGACTCTTGTTGAGGGCARGTACATGTCTC